CTGGAATTAACCCATGCATGCTCAGGGAGAACATGCAAACTCCATGTAGAAAAACCCCGGGCTGGGAATCAAACCCAAAACCTCCTTGCTGCAAGTCCTACCCACTGCACCACTGAGCGGCCTGTTTAATGCCAGTGACAATGTTTTATTCTTTAATGTAGTTACTAGCAGTTAATTTTATATGTTACATGAATATAACATAGGCGTTGCACAATGATAACTGGTAGAAAAGTAAAATCATTACATTTTTATTAAAAATATTTTGAAGCATGCATAGGTCTTTGTTTTAGATATATTTATTTTTGGCCAAGGGAAATTAATGTTGTTGTAATTGGAAGAACATGCTTTGATGTAGGTTTACTGTGTACCTAAATATAGATCTATTCAAAAAGACTCAGAGGATCATAAATAATAGAACACGATACGGGTCATGCTACATTACTTATGTATAAGCAAGCATATTGGCAAAAGTGTAAATATAGGAAAAGGCGACCCGTGTTATCATGTTGCTATCAATGTTTTATGTGATCTTGCTGCTGCTTATTTGGATTACTGAAATTATGCAGGTCAAAAGGAAATAGCTGCAAGCTAATTCATTTCCTATCTAAAAGGTTTGCATGGATTAAGTGGAAATGGGGAGTATACTGTAGATGTTGTACAAGTATTCCTAATTGTAAAGAGGAGACTAGACTTTTTTATTCAAGTAAATTAACACTGAAATATTCCCTTTTACATTAGACTCAAAACCATGCATCATCTTTGCCTAATGTTCCTCTTAGAGACCAACCATGTCTTACATCATCTTGCCCCTACCATTTAAAGTACTATATTAAATATTTGCCATTTTTACATTATACCATTATTTAGTAAACATCACATGAGCGTAATAAAAGTGAAAACTAATAGCATGGACATATTTTAAAGCCGTGTGAATAAAAGAGCAACATCATGGAACTTTGCTGAGGTATGAAGGATACATGCTCATTCATCCATCCATCTATGGTCTTTCGCCTACTAGGGATTGGGTTGAAGAGATAACATATTCAGAAAGAAAACCATGGCATTCCTCTTTTCCTCTTACACACCAACACTTTACACCTTATTTTGCTGGATTCAAAGCATTTCACATCAAGAGTTATTTAAATGATTCTTTAAGTTTTGTTTGGGGTGTCCTCCTAGGAAGCACAGAATACCTGTAATGTGCCCTTCAGGTTACCCTTCGGAGTTGCAGAAAATACTTCAACTGATGTCATCTGCTGTGGATGTCTTTTAGCTGTGGCTCAGCCTTTAGTTGACAGAATTTTTTATCCTTATATTAAAGGTAGAGTTCTCACAGATTTTGGAAAAGACCCGCTCTCTCTACTTTAAAAAAAAAAAAAGCACATGCACAACCCTGTACCACCTCCCGAGAGGGAACACCTAATTAACGTGTGCGAGAATATGCAGGAGCCCATTTCTCTCCATGCATGCTCTGTTTAAAAGATGCTGTTTGCATTGCTCATGCAAGCTTACTTTCCAAAAGAAGATTTGCAATTTTTCCACTATGTCAGACTCACCACCGCTAAGTCAAAATGGGGACGAGCACGTAGGATCACCTTACGTAAATATATCACCAGAATGATTGACAATTAGGAGGACCACTTACTTTTATGATCCACCTGGAAAAAGAACATCCTCCACTATACCTTTCATTTCAATTGTTTGTGCTGATGATGTATTTTAAATATGACCCATATATTATAGATGGAGTTGTGGGCTGGATTTTACATTTACCAGTATTCAAGGAGCTCTCGCTTTACCACAAGGAGTCAGAGTAGTTCTTTTTAAGCTACTGGACAAGTGCTGGTAGTAGGGTTGTCTTAGCAGATACATTTGTTTTTATCAGTAATTTGCAAAATAGGTAAAAAAGACATAACTGTAATGTAATGCAGCTGAAAGAGATAAACCTGGTTTAGCTTAGATTTGTGTTTTAAGTAAATTACCATGGAAAACATTTATAAACGCCTATGTTAATAAACTCTTCTGTAGAAAACTGGGAACCAAACAAAGGCCCTTGGCAAAAATGATAGCACTTATAACCAGTAAAGGGGTGCTAACCTACAACGATATAGAACCTTTTGCAAGTATGTAAATATCATAATGTAAGTTTCTGAATGGTTCGCTTCAGAGAAGAGCATTTTATAGGTTCTGACGGTAGGGTTGTAAACTGTCAAACTATTATTAAAGTTCTTGTTGTACCTCTTCTTTAATTACCTGCAAATAATTCATGATGTTTAGAATTAATTTCACCTGAGCTGTTAGTCCAGTATCTTCTGATATAATCCAATTAGACTTGAGAAATATAGTCAATATAGTACCTAGTAGCTCATTTGTTCAAGTAGGCAATCAAGCAATGGAAATTGATTTTGCCTATACACAAATTAGTTCCAAACTCTTAAATGATTGTAAATCCATCCATCCATCCATCCATCCATCCATCCATCCATCCATCCATCCATCCATCCATCCATCCATCCATCCATCCATCCATC